TTTTTTATAGAAAATGGAAGAAGCGGTAACAAAAATTGGCCTACGAGCCGACTGTGCCGCATTGATATGGAATGTTTATTTGGATTTCGAAAAGATGATCCTGAATTCGGCAGGTGATAGAAATCATGAAAATCAGCGCCAACTGGTGGAATCGATTTACAGGCGATTACTTCGTATACCACATATTGGCCTTGAGGAATCCTGGAATGAGTATAAAACTTTTGCTGGTATGGTTTATAGTCTTTAATTTTTTTTTTGGTTTTTTGCCAAAGAAGATGTAAAAATGATACGGTGTTTGAGGAAATTTTGGGCAGAAATCGAAGAAAAAGTAAAAAGAAAAATAAAATTCGTTTCAGTAGAAGCAAATTTTATTTTATTTTATTTTTACGAATTTTATTTTACTTCCTGGTTTTGCCTTTTATTTGTTTTGACTTTTTTCTTTACCCAATGAGGAGATTTTTGCATATCTTGATTGGCTAGAATTTTTGCAGAAGGAAAGGAATCTGACATATTACGGGCAGCATTCGAAAACTCTGCGAAACGAATGGCTGATATTACAGCGTTCGAGGATCGCCTCACTGACGCGGAGGATTTGAATGAAAAATTGTCAATTTTAATGGAATACATCGAATTTGAAATGCAAAGTTAGTAGCTGTTTTCCCATGTTTTTTTTTTTTTTTTTTATGTCGAGGAAATCGTTTTTTTATGTGTTTTGTGCTGTGTAACAGCGTTACAAAACGCATATTGTCACGGGTCTGTGTGTGTGTGTCCCACATTTCGTCTCGCATTTTCAACTCGGGAACCACAAAAATTAGGCGGTTGAAATTTTGGTATAGTGTTCCCAGCCAACGGGTGGCGCGGCAAATTTAAATTCAGCCTTTCCGTACCAGCAGGTAACACGTGCGGCCCCGTGAAATTTTTTTACAGGTAAATTAATATCTTGGGAACCACGGAGTTTAGGAGGCTGAAATTTTAGGGTAATGACCCCTGCCCACTCTCTGCCTTGCCTGTTCAAATTCGGCCTTCCCGCTTTCTCGAGTATCACCTACAGGCTAGTGAAAGTTTTTGCGGGTAAATTAGTATCTCAGGAACCACTGAGTCTAGGAGGCTGAAATTTTAGGGTAATGACCCTTTGCCCACGCTCAGCTTTGTTCATTCAAATTCAGCGTTCCAGCGCTCTCGGGTGCCACCTACGAGCTAGTAAAAGTTTTTACGGGTAAACTATTAACTCGGGAATCACGGAAAGATATTCACCCTTCAAGGTTTCGAATTCAGCTT